TTCACTTGCTGTCTCTCCGGATCTGACTTGTCTACTTTGCTTCGACTTGGCTATCACAGACCGGTTCCATGGGACGCGAACCGGGTGCCGCCGTTGGCCTACAATCAAGGAACCACGCCGTTCTCCCACCGAAGAGCTCGTTCAAGATCGACGAAGGTTACTCAGACGAAACGAAGAGCTTGCAGGAAAATGAGAGCGTGCAGGACACGCTGGAGCTCCCTGCATGGATTCTCTCGCGTAGTGAAGCAGACAGAGCCGGTACTGACCCCCTTCCCTCAGCCCATCGAACGCTGTTATGGTTTGCTTACGCCCCTCACAGAGCTAGCCTACACCCTGCTCAGAACGCTTCGAACGTCCACCATCTCTGCAGTCATAGATCGACTGACCCCGTTGCTCCACATGGATCCCGTTCAGAAGCTCCCGCCAGAGATAACCGCCGAAATCTTCTCCTATCTCGATCCCACCACGCTGCTGACGGCCTCTCTCGCCTCCAAGCCGTGGAGGAGCAGGATCCTCGACTCGAGGCTGTGGCGGGGGCTCTACATCAAGGAAGGATGGAGGCTCAACATGGGCTCCATTCGCGAGTTCCACCGCCAGTCCAGCGAGATCGCCAGGCAGCAGCAGGGCAGGAAGTCGAGGAACAGGCACTCGGACACGGAGTCGGGGCAACCCCAGCTGAAGAGGCGTGCTCTCGACTGTGGCCGTGCCGGAGCTGGTCCTGCCGAGATGGTCACCAGCAGGATCGGCTGTTCAACCCTCCCTACGGACACGGAGGGGGACCATGAGATGTGCGATGCGGAGCCTACCTCGCCCATGGACATCTCGTCTCCGACCCGTCTGGCTGCGCGGCTGGCGAGGAAATGTAAGGTGCCCAACTCCTTGGATCCTTCAATGCAGTCCCCCGGGTTCGATTCTCTCTTCACAGATGACCGATCCCCCCTCCCGTACTCCTCAGCTGCGGTATGGTCCCGCAACGGCCCTACGTTGAACTGGGCCTACCTGTACAAACAGCGTCAAAAGCTGGAGGAAAACTGGCGTCATGGCCGGTTCACCAACTTTCAACTTCCCCACCCCGATGCGCCCTGGGAGTCCCATCGAGAGAGGGTCTACGTCATTCAGTTTACCGGCAAGTGGCTGGTCAGCGGCAGCAGAGACAAGACGGTCAGAGTCTGGGATCTAGAGACACAGCGGCTGAGAGGCCAGCCGTTACTCGGGCATACCAAATCTGTCCTGTGTCTGCAGTTCGACCCGAGCACGGAAGAGGATATCATCATGTCCGGGAGCAGTGATCGCAGCGTCATCGTCTGGCGGTTTTCAACCGGAGAAAAGATACATGAGCTCACCAATGCACATAACGACTCGGTTCTCAACCTGCGGTTCGACAAGCGGTACCTCGTTACCTGCTCAAAGGATAATACTATCAAAATATTCAACCGGAACTCCCTGCTTCCTACCGATGCTGACTATCCCACGGTCATCAAAGGAGCTGGCCCCAGATACCCTGATTACATCATAGATACCTCTGTCGTGCAACCTTCATCACTGGAAGCCCAAATAGCCAGCCAGCAGATCAAATCTCTGCCTCCTTACACTCTGCTGATGACTCTTGATGGGCACCGTGCTGCCGTAAATGCCATCCAGATCGACAAGGATGAGATCGTCTCTGGATCTGGAGATCGACTCATCAAAGTCTGGAGCATCCACAGTGGTGCGTGTCTGAAGACGATACTGGGCCATAATAAGGGGATTGCCTGTATCCAATTCGACAACCAGCGCATCGTAAGCGGCAGCAATGATGACACGGTCCGCATATACGATCATGCTTCAGGGGCAGAGGTTGCCTGTCTTCAGGGCCACTCGGATCTTGTCCGGACGGTCCAGGCCGGGTTCGGAGACCCTCCTGGCTCAGAAGAAACTATGAGACTAGAAGCAATGGCAGTGGACCATGAATATTTTGAAGCCAGACGCCGTGGAGACGTTGACGAGAACCCTGTAACCACTCGCCGCTCCCGCCGAAATCCCAATACTGGCTCCAGATTGCCACAGGATGTCACGGCATTAGGTGCGAAAATCCCCCCCGGAGGAGGTGGCAGCAATTGGGCCAGAATAGTCTCCGGGTCATACGATGAATCCATCATTGTATGGATGAGGGACAAGGAAGGCAAGTGGGTTATTGGACAGCAATTCAACCAGGCAGACGCCATCAGGTCCGCAAGAGCTGCAGCTGCAGCGGCCGCGGCCGCTCGTTCACAGGCCAACGAATTCACTTCAGCCGGTAACCCCCAGGCTGGCGGTCTATCAACAGAAGCAGTGCAGGGCCATCATCACCATGCAACCGGAGCAACACCCAATCCCATCCCGCCTCAGCAGCCTATTAATCAGACAGCGGGCAATAACCCGCCTCCTGTACCTGGACATCACCAAGGCCCCCCTGCTGCGCCCGCACATCCAAACCACCCCCCCGCCAATGTTGGTACTATCGATGCAGACGGCAATATAGCTCTCATACCTCCGACCGCAGGTATATTCAAGATACAATTTGATGCACGAAATCTTATTTGCGCAAGTCAGGACTCTCGCATTATCGGCTGGGATTTCGCATGCGGTGACAAGAAACTCGAAGAAGCATGTCAATTCTTCGAAGGCTTATAGAACAAGCAAGTATACACGATCTTCTTCCCTTTCCCGCTACACCGTGTACATATGGACCAGTTATTTTTTATTTCCACTTCATTCCCCATCCCTTTTCCTTTCCTGGGCTGATTCTACGCCAATTGCATATTCTGTTATTATCATCCTCTCCTCTTCCTTCTATTTGGCTACCTTTCTCCTCTTGGGCGCGGTCATCCAATCTCCTGTTTCAATACTGTTGTTCTACTTCTGTCCTTTCAGCAAGCATAAGAGATACCATACCAGTCAGTCAGTCAGTCAGTCACTTAGTTACTTCTACCTTGTCAAATGTAGATCACCTCCACGAGCTCCTCCGAACAAGCGTGCAAAAGTCGTGGTGTGTAAACAAATCCACCCCTCCCCCGGCCATTGATTCTCTTACGTTTGAAACAAATTCTGAACATGGATTGCCCCGGAGAATTATCTCCTTTATATATATGTGACTAGGGGAAAGCGGAGGAGGGGAAACATTACGTTTATATATAGAGACCGACCGCTTTGACCTAATGGATCGCCTCTATAGGACATGGATGGACGAAACATCGACGATCACCCGCGGATGGATTAGCAATCGGCGTCATATATGCGTGTTTGTCGCATGGCAGGGGTTTTGAACATGTTCTAGAAGGTTTTTGAGGTTGGCTGTAGGGCCATAAGGATTGACTACTGCAGGTTTCTAGACTCCTTCTCTCTCTTCCATGTCCTCGTATATATGAAACTGAGGCTTTATTTCTTCTTCTAAGGACAGGTGCAGGCATCCATAACATCGGATTTATTTCCTTTGACATAGGTGTTTGCCGGAGTGCAATCCCAGACAGCGCCACGGACAAGACTACTCCAAAAATCAAATCTTGATACAACTTCTCCGTTCTAATACCAAACAACTATCCTCGCAGCCCGGCAATACCGGAGACTCGCTGCATCTCTGTATCACGCCGTCCCTCGTGTTCGTCGTCAGCGCCCAGTCCGCAGCAGCACTTGGTTACGTGAAGTGAAACGAGATCCCAGAGCCGCAGTAAACCGCCCTGGTTGGAACCTCGCTCACTCTGATCCCTGGCTGAGGTATTCCTCGCTAATGCTGAGGTTGATGCAGGGCGTGAATATAGCATCTGCTCTCTGGGCCGCGATGGGATGGCGTGGTTGTTGTTTCGAGTCAAGGACGAGACTCGAACCGGCGTAGAGGGAACGGGTAGATCCCTGTGATCATCGAGTAGCGATCGATACCGGGGAAGCGGGCTTGGATTACTTGCTGAAGAGCCACGCGGCGATTGCCGCTGTAGACCAAATTCGTTTGTCGTGCTACAGCGACCAGATCTTGAATGGGCTGCTTGCGGTGCTCTGATATCGGTATCTTTTGTCCTTGCGGCGGGTAGATGGTTTTGATGAAACGGATGGTTTTCTAAGCTTGCTGTAGCACCAATACCATGGCCGCTTGAGCGTGCACCGAATCGCCCTCGAATAAGAGTCCCGTCGTCCGCCCTTGCGAGAACTCCCGGAGGTAGGCGTTCAGGAGGCTGGTATGTGATATAGGAAGTTGTCTCACGAAAAGCTCTCCGTAAGCCAAATCCACAGCATCCACAATCATCGTCAGAGGAGTCATCATCTCTGTCTCCCTCTAGATTTCGATTTGTTTGTGGTGATGATCTACTGCTGTCCTGGCCGGCTCTTGGAGTTCCTCGAGGGAGTGATGATATGTCGTAGCGAAGAGCCTCAGGTGAACCAAAAGATGGGACACCAGGCGGAGTACTAGGTCGATGTGGAGGAGGATGTATAGGTTGTGTAGGTTCTGCTGGGGAAATAGTATTGCTCAGCCAGCAAGATGTATCAAAGCTTCCATCTGAAGAGAGGGTACTGCAAGAGTGGCGTCGTTCACGAGGAAGTCCTGAAAGGGAAAATCTAGGCCGAAACGAAGGTATGTCATGGTCGTCGAAAGAATATATTCTTGATCCATATTGGTTCCAGCGTACGGACGATCCCCTGGATGAAGCTGCCGAGTAAGAGTATTTTGAATTTAACGAGACACCGACTGATGCACAGGGTCTCAATCGTGATCGAGAAGATGTAGCCAGATGAGTAGATGCACTTTGATTCTCCAAGATAGTTTCCAGTGAAGGGACAGCCAGTCTCTCTCGCCGTCGGACTCTTTCGCTATCCCAGGAGCGCAGTTCTTGTATGTGACTAGCACTAGCTAGCTCAGAGCTTTCTTCATCAACTTTCTTCGCACTAGGCTGTGCGTTGTTATGTTCGGATTCGTAGCTAGATAGGAACGCATCGTAAAGAGAGCTGTGTTCACTAGGCAAGGATTCAGATGAATCAAGATGGGGGCTCAGTGTTCTGGTCGACACAACACGGCGAAGCCCGCTGGGTCTGTCAATGGAGTATGCAACAGGCCGGACAGGTTTCCGATCAAACCCTTGATTGATTCCGGAGAACGGCTCCTGTCTCCCCTTGTGTAGAGACATATTCTCAGGCTGGCTGAGGCTCAACAATTCAAACGATAGACTGCCCTTAATGAGCGAAAGGGGATAGCAGTGTCAAGCAACGACAGTATCAACGGGATATCCGAGATGCATTTTTCTGGGTATTGGTCGTATATATAAAACAAAAAAACAGCCGCGTTAACGCATAGGAAGGAGCAAATGATATAGCAATAGACCAAAAAGAAAAAACACCTAAAACAGAGCCCAAAAATATAGAATAAAGTCAGGAGCAAAGAAGGAACGAGACAAAAAGGGGCGAGTTAACATAGCAACAAGATGATAAAAAGTAATAAATGGGAAAAGATCACTAAAAAGAAGAACAAGATAACAAGATACTGCCCTTTTTTTTTTATCCCCCTTGAATTGTGTTTTTGAATCTCCAAAATTGTACCGGAAAGAATGCATCACGTCTAGTCTCATGCTTATAGCTGCCCAAGGAAAAATTGAAATCCATCAAACGCTCAACTCCGGTTAAAATTCTGATCTAGGTGGTGCGACCCTCATGAGGCCATGGTACTCTGGCTGAGATTCGACTTCTTCAGGCTCTGCTCTCTCTTCATGGCTCTGAGCATGGACTCAAGGCGCCGTCGCTCCTCTTGTTCGGCCTAGGAAAGGGTGTTAGTAGGGTTGGATGACAGCGAGATAGATAGAAGGGCATACCCGTAACGCCTTGATACTATCTGCCCTTGTTTCTCTCATCATCTTCTTGAACTCGTTCTTCAGCACGGTGATTGACGTATTTTCCACCGTCATTCCGTCTCTTATGCCCAGATTCTGGATGCGCTCGTCACCCAGCTGGGTCTCCAGGGTGTCACATCGATCTCTATAGCTATCGATCATATTCTCAAACTTGTCACGCTCCTTTTCGAACTCGATGCTCTGCTTGGTCAACTCCTCGTAGTCTTCAATGGTCTCACGCAGCTCTCTCTCTAGCATCTGGATTCTCTCATGAGCACCCAAACTGGCTGAGTTGGCGTTGTTCATCTGTACCGATTTCAACGTTGCTATTTGACTGGTGAGGTCCATGTTGCGTTCTCGGAGGTTGTCTATTTCACGCTGAACGGCAGGGTTAGCGGCAGCTTCGGCGGCACGCTCCGATCTAGTTCCATAGGCGCCGTCGAGCTCCGCTCTGGCAAAGGTGAGCTCGGTTTGGATGCGAACCATTTCACTTTCGAGCTCGGAGAATTCGGTCTGGAGTTTAGCATTGGCTTGTTCGGCTTGTTCACGGGACTGACGGGCTTCGTGGAGCTGGCTGAGATGAGTTTCCGTTTGTGAGCGTAGTTCCTGCAGCGTGGACTCTAGATTGCCGATGTGAGTGTGCTTCTCTGCTAGGTCATGTTCGACCTTTTCACGGGTCTGATAGGCTTCCTGGAGTTGTATGTCCGCCTGTGAACGTAGCTCCTGGATGGTGGACTCAAGGGCGGCAATTCGAGACTCCTTCTCTGCCAGGTTCTGTTCAGCTTTCAGGAGTGCCTCCGGTTCAGGATATTCCTTGGGAGCTTCTCCAATGCTACGTTTCTGCTCACGAAGCATGGAATCCTGTCGTTCAGCGTCCAATTGATCCATGAGCATGGTGATTTCGGCTCTGGAACTCTCGTTCGCAGCATGGGACTTGTCAAGCTCCTTTCGTAGCTTGGTTAGATCCTCCGTGAGGTCCGCAATGTATGCATCACGCTCTGCGTCAGATTTGGAGTTGAGGTCTCGCTGCTGCTGTATCTGGATGCCGAGGATAGTCTTCTGTTCTACGAGGCTCTCTATCCTCTTTTCGGCATCGGCAACGGCAGACTCGAGGTAGTCTAGCTGTTCGGGTAGGGATTTCCTGATAGTCGACATGTGTGGACTGGTAGGCTGTCTGCTGGACCCGGCGGATGCTAGAGCCTCATCGAGCCGTCGGCTAAAGCCCTCCAGCCTTTCTAACGTGTCATGCGTATCGTGAGGCTCTTCGGTTTCGCGGGTATCCTGCGGATGAGACGAATGGCTTTGATGCACAGCAATTGCCTCCAGACCTTTCTCCAGATACTCAATCTGCACGTTGACCGTAGCTAGAGGGTCGGAGGAGCCTTGGTTCGAGATTACCTGTGGGATGGGATCTATTTCCCGGTGCGGATCCATCTGTGTGATCATCTCATGCAGCCGGTAATTCATCTCCTCGAGCTTTGACTGAGTGTCCTGTAGTCCGCTGAGGTCTGCAGAGTTGGACTCCACATCAGGCTCCAGGCTAGGCACATCTCGCGGTCCTCTTCCGCCATGGTGATCGAGATAGTCAGCCGTCCGGTAGAGACTCCTATGATCGAACTCGTGTCCGCAGCCGTAGGGGTCTATCCCATGCACGTCCTCCGATGTCGACGACTGGTCGTCCGTCTTGGATCCCTTCTTCTTCTTAAGTCCTTTATGCGTCATCTGCAGAACTCCCGCCGTGTGCTCCAGTATCCTCGTCCTGATGTCACTGGCCCTCCGCTCCAGTTTCGAAATCTCCTGCGACTGCTCCTCGCATTTCCGTCTCGTGATAGCCAGCCCTTCATCCGACGTATCGTCTCCATTCTGCCCCAGGTGGCTCGTCCCCTTGCGGTGGCCGTTCACCAGGTCTGATCCATCATCGTATAGCCTGTTGAGCGACAGTGCTGCCTCCTGCAGTTTCAGCTCCAACGCTAGTTTCCGTTTGCCGCTCTCGATGCGGGATAGCAGCAGCGATAGCTCTCGTTTCAGATCCTCGACCTCTTCGAACGAGAGGACCTCGAAGTGCAGACTGTCTCCGATAGCAGTCTCGGCCAGCAGGTGCATCGAGACCGGGTCCTGGGCGTTCAGCAGGACAGAGCCTTGCGAAATCGAGCTGATCTGCTGCACAAAGCACCGTAAGCAAGATATCTTTTCAAAACGACCAGCTTGAGTGGCAGTTATATATTAAAATAGACCTACAGGATTGTACCTCGAGCCCTCGTCGTCTGTGGAATGCATCATTCCGCCGTAGCCATCAAGCGTCTTCACATTGCCAATCGAGGACGAAGAGTAGTACCGCGGGTCTCTATAAGAATAATACTCACTCGATCTGACGCTCGTATCCATCGTGGAGCTTGTCTTATAAAACGAATCCTCTTACGAAACAAGGCGTAAGATAGTGAGAGCGTGAAAATGCGGCTGAGCTTGCTTGGACATTAAAAGGGGCGACGGCGCGACCTCATCTCGTTCGTCTCAACACAACCACATCGAAAAAGACGGCCAGAAGACCAGATATTCGATTCAAAAGAGACAATCGAGAGAAGAGCAGTCAACAGAAACAGACAGGTCGCAAAAAGAAGAGAAAGGATGAAAAAAAAAAAACAAATCACCTATTCCGCGAATGTTCACGAATCGGCTTCGTAAACAACCTATGCAGACGATGCGCCACCACGATCGTTACTCCAGCTTCTCTTTCGATGGCCTAGTTATACCTCTACGCACCCTCGAGGAACACTATTTAGCGAGCAGAGGCGAATGAAGAAGCGAGTTCTTGTCAACGGCTCAGGGGGAAGAAGCGCCTCGCAGCGTGTACCTTTTTTTCGCCGTTATGTCTGCTACGCGACCTGGATACAAACATATACATGGTATAAAACTATCCAGCGGTTGGGAAACGAATGAACAACAAGGATAAAAGGAAGCCTGCGGGGAATAGAAAAAAGACCAAGCCTCCGTTTCCCCGGACGAGTGAGAAACGACAGGGAAAAAAGAAACACTGCAGCTTGTTTTGCGGTTCTCGTATGCAGAGGAAGGGCTTTTCTTAGCCCTGCGCCGTCACATGTTCGGGCCGGTTGTGGAGGTTGAGTTATGGCTTACAGAGAAAAAGGAGAGGCCGTTTGCATCCTTTGCGGGAAGGGGATAAAGGGACGCATGGATATATAGGCTGTCCATCTTCTTCCGGTCGATGACGTCTCTCTTCCCATCCTGTCAGCGTTGACGATGGACTCGAGGGACTATATGACGCCCACCCCTGGGATGGCAAAGGACGATGATACCGTGGTCACCAGGATCTCTACCGTGTCCGAAGCGCAGACGTTCAGGGTGTATAGACGTCGTTTCTTTGGCCTGGCACAGTTGGTCCTGCTGAACATCGTCGTCAGTTGGGATGTAAGTAACGTTATATGTGTATAACTGTTGATACTCGGCTAACCCTTGTAGTGGCTCACCTTTTCGGCTGTGTCAAAGACGGCCTCAGAGTACTTTCGTATCAGCGAGGGAGCCATCAACTGGATGAGCACGGCTTTCTTGTTTGCATTCTGCTTTGCTAGCCCGTAAGTGTGCTCTGTTTGATGGCCGAGAAAGATGCTAACCTCAGCGATAGGATCGTGATATGGACACTCAACAAGGGCGGTCCTCGATCCTCCATCATCACGGCCTCCGTCCTGCTGCTGGTCGGGAACTGGGTCAGATATGCCGGGACACGAGCGGGCAATGGGAACTTTGGAGTCGCCATGTTGGGTCAGATCCTGATCGGATTCGCGCAGCCGTTTGTCTTGACGGCACCGACCAGGTATAGTGATATCTGGTTCACCGACCATGGTCGGACAAGTGCGACTGCTGTGGCCAGTCTTGCGAACCCGTTTGGCGGAGCGTTGGGACAGCTGATCGGCCCTTTGCTGGCAACAGATCCGTCCCAGATCCCGAATCTGGTCCTCTACGTCTCGATTATTGTCAGTTTTGATCCGTCCTGGCAGCAAGAAGCAACGTCTGGCTAACTGTGATACAGTCCTCCGTGGCGTGTGTGCCATCATTCTTCGTCCCTGCTCGGCCTCCAACACCGCCCAGTCTGGCCTCTGGGACGGAGAAGCCCCCTCTTCTTGCCAGTTTACGTGAACTAGTCACTCGCACCGAATTCTGGCTCATCTTCTTCCCCTTTAGCATCTACGTTGGCCTCTTCAACAGCATCTCTTCCCTCCTCAACCAGATCCTCTACCCCCACGGCTTCTCCGAGACCGAAGCCGGCATCACAGGTGCTCTCCTGATAGTCGTCGGCCTCGTCTCCGCGGGCATCCTGTCGCCTATCATCGACAGACTAAAACACTACCTGGGAACCATGAAAATCCTCATCCCTATCCTAGCAGCTACCTACATAGGCTTCATCTTTGCTCCTAACTCGAACAGCGTAGCCGCACCATACGTTGTCGCTGCTTTGCTCGGTGCAGCCAGCTTCTGTATCCTCCCAGTCGCTCTCGAGTATTTGGTTGAACTAACCTATCCCATGTCCCCGGAAATCCCAAGCACCATCTGCTGGACCGGGGGGCAGATCTTCGGTGCAGCGTTTATCTTGATCGAGAACGCACTCAAGGCCGGACCAAAGGATAACCCACCCTTCCACATGACTCGTGCACTCATCTTCCAGGCAGTGATCGCAGCTGCTGTAGTTCCACTGCCGTTATGCATCGGCCTTTTCGGGACAGATATTCGCAAACGCAGGCTTGAAGCCGAGTGCCAGCGTGTCAGGAGCGAAGAGGAAGCCATCATCCGTCAATCCTAACTTCTTTGCCCCCCCCTTTTTTCTCTCGACCGTACATATCTTTGCGTTCATGACCTTATGTATATATGTTGGTCACTATTAGTCTGACCGCGTTACTTTCTGGCGTTTGCATCAGACCTGCTCCTGGAATCTGAATGGACGGACGGAGCTGCTCTTCTAGTGGGAGATTTCTATCATTTCATAACATAGAGGAAACATCTAAGACCAAGAAAGGAAAGAATAGAAACTAGCCATACAGGGTACAAATGAAACAAATATATGCAGACAGATACAGCTATGATGGTTCTATCTGTCTTTCTCTTCATGTCCATATCAACGCATGCAGGCAGCCTGCCTGCTACCCCTGTAATCTGCATGTTATAATCTCTCATGAGAAAAGAAAAGAGCAAACAAAAACAGGAGGCGGCCTCAGAACTTGATTTAGGTTGTTGTATAGTACAAGGTATATATTTTATTGTATTTTTGGCGTTCTAAGAGAGACAACACGGACGGGCGGAGGCGGGCACGTATATGCGTAGATGTGAAGAGAAAGAGGGGAAAGATCAGATCTATTTCAATTCGCGGAAGAGTTTGGGGGCGGCGCACTGGGTAGCGCAGTGCTGGAGGTGGAAGACTGAATCAAGCGTTAGATTTGAGATATTTGCATCAGGCAGCAAGAGTTGACTTACACTCCTCGACGCAGTCCTCGTGAGGGCCCTTGAAGTCGGGATCTTCGGAGTTGCGAGTGACACGCTCAACGCAGTGATCGAAGTGGTGCTTAACAGGAGCGCAGGGCTTGGAGTTTGAGCATTCTATCCATGGGGAGAATCAATTAGCTACAGTCTCTGGGGCGCTTCGCTTCCAATTGAAATGTAATTCCGAGCCATGGACAGAATCAACTGATGACCAAGACCAATTGATTCCAAATCTATCAATTGGTCCAATCAATCCCCATTATAGGCTCATAAAGCCCAACTTCCATTACTATACAGATAGAAACGGCCGTTTACTCACCTTCTATCAACTTGGGCATGATGTCCTCAGCCTCCTCCTCCTCCTCCTCTTCTTCCTCCTCAGCCTCTTCTTCCTCGGCGTCTTCCGACTTGTCTTCATCGGGCGTATCCTCAGCAGAAGAAGACTCCTCGACCTCCTCGGCAGGAGGAGCTTCAGCCTCGACAACCTCTCCGAAGCTCAGCGAGCTCACGAAGTCAACGAACATATCGGCGATACCCATTGTGACGGATGGAATTGGACGGCGATATCCAACAATGTGGGAGCAACGGAGCAGAGGGTTCTACGCCGTGAGACAAGGTCGTGGTCGTGGTCGTTCGGCGACGTTGTTGCTGGTGGTTTTGACTGATGTTGGCTTGATGTTTTGGAGCGAAAAAAGGTCTTCGTCCGGTTTAGGCTCGACGTGATTGGTCAGCGTGGTGTAAACACGTGATTTTGCATAGCAGATGAAGATGAAGAAGACTATAACGATCATTAAAGACTACCTATCTATGGGCGCTAACGTGGACATCATACAAGGCTACTGATATGTTTAACAGGTTGACGGTGGGTCGATAAGACGGAAGGTCATGGACGACGGCGACGGAGCTGGTTCTCCAGCTCGTTCGCAACACTCTGCTGCTGCACTTCTTCATACCCTGGAGGAGGGTCCGTAGGGGTCTCAAACGACGGCCGTCCTGACGCTCTATCGCCTGGATTACGCTCGGTTTCGCTCACAGCCGGCCTATCCGTCGATTGTATTGACGGTGGTGGCTCGGACATATTACCCGCTGGCCCTTCATACGCCGGCAGGTCCTCCAGATGCACGTTCGCAAAGTCGACGACGCCGAACGCACCGCCGTCACGGCCGGTGCCTACCTGTGCTCCATCCCCAGACATCAGCCCGCTTTCTCTCGCCTGCTCGACAGCTTGCTGCAGTCGTTCCTTGATCTGTTCAAAGTTTGTGTGGAAATCAAACGCTCCTCCGTCCTTGAAGGTCAGCTTTAGCTGTATTGCTGCGTACGTTGCAGGGATGCCACCGCCAGAGACCGGTTGGATGATGGCATTCCATACGTTAGGCCCGAAGAATGGCGCGGCAACGTGTGTGTCAGCTAGGTTTAGAAGCGGCGCAGAGAAGGATTGGAATTCTGCAGTTGGCTGAGATGGGAGATAGACGATCTATGCAAAAAATGTGTAAGCGCGGGGGATATATATGTTACTGGCGGATCAAACATACTCTTTGGTTTGTGAGGTGAACATGGCCAGCGCTGCTCTGTTTCGAAAAGGACTGCTTGTCTGGACCGGGGTGGGTGGATCGGAGGGACATGCTCGTCCGTGGTGGTGAAGAGTATATGATACGTTCGTTTGGCAACAGGACCAATCCCTTGGTCTCATGGACCATGGCCCAACTAAGCATCCAGACTTTTAGCAATGACTTCTTGTTCCGCCTTGACTGCATCTTGATAGGTATATCTTTATACCAACAGACAATGGGTCGGTGGTGGTATAGAGAGGGTCTCTCCAGGAGGTGAGTAAACAGAGTGGAGGGACATACTTTATAGACATCTTCTCGACGCCCTCCCACCTAACCTGCCCTCAAAAGGCCAGAGTTCTGTATGGATCCGGGGTGTTTCCTACGGCTTCGAGTGCACCGCGTGCTCTGTGACTGTTTGCAGCCAATATCGACAGGCAAAAAGGCTCCTTGGAGACGGCTAAAAGTCAAAAAGGTTAGAACATATAACCCGCAACCGCGCCATGCGAAAAGAAAATAAAAAAAGTAGAGAGGGAGAGAGAGAACAGGTCAACCCCTGTAGCAGTCGCCCTCACTAGTAATGTATTAAAAACAACAATAGATCAGGCATAGTCGGATGAACGTACTTGGTGTGTTCAGGCAAGATGTTTGGCTGGCGGGGTTGACCACAGCTGGCTATGTAGATGTATCCCTGACCTGTAGTTAGTTAATGCGTATCATCCAGCAGGCTGGGTTGTACCTACAGCTCGACTCTAGACGCTGATGTATATTGATGTATTCCTTCTATGCACAAGCTATGGACGTTGAATGTAGCGACATCTGCACCACAAGGTGGCGGCCTGATCGTCTGCAAGGCGGCTTGTCGTGTAGTTAGTAACCTCTTGAATTGAACAATAACCCCGCCGGTGGTCCGAAGACACTAGACCAGAATCCTATCACTGGACGCAAGCATTTATATCTTTGATATTTATATATCTTAGGAGAAGAAGAAGCAAAAAAATATCAACTTCCATCCACGAAGACATGAGAAAACAGGCCGAAAACACGTGGTTTTGCAGGTGGGAAAAACTTCATCCAACGAGCAAAGTTGTGGCTTTTATTGATACCAACAGAAAAGACAAGACATGGACGAGGGTTCGCTGTTCGTTCGTTTAATGTTATACTATGTTTCTACCTATGCCACGAGTCCTCGCATCAACCGCTATCATGCTCAAGAACGGGCTGACAGGAGCTGGTGCGGTTGACTGCACTGATACCATAGAGATGCTATCCTAACTAAACATGATACCCTGAGAGGGTGCTCCCTTACTTGGACTGATCAGTAGATCAGTAGGCATGATGAATCGCGCGGGTGTATATGTATATTGGTAGCTATGCTTCACAACAGAAAAATGAAGTATACGCTCAAACAACATGCACCACCCTCCCAACGAAGGCTCGCCTGGGAACAAAACATGGCTGAGGGGCCGGAGCGTGGAGAGCTATCGTCGAATTGCGGCAGCTGGCCGCCGTTGGTGGTACCATTGCCGCCGGAGGAAGTTGGGGTAGAGTGACTATGGAAGAGACGAGTGTTACTATATGCCTTTGCGGGCAGGGGAAACATCCGGGTGGTTGTCAATACCTGTGGCCTGCACTGGGGCTTCCGGAGGCAGCACTGACTTGGTGAGGCATGCTGGGAGAATGGAAACAGTGTGTGCAGGTCTTGAGGAGAGGGTTGGTTATATGGGCGAAGGAAGATATCGTATGTGTATGGGTATCTTGTGCTTAAGAAGGAGTTTTCTCTTCCTCATGGAGGTCGAGCAGGCTCCTTTTATATTTTCCATCATGGGCTTTGGATACTGGGAGCCGTTCCCTTTCCTTCGACGAGAATCCAGATATAATATCTACTTCAGTCGAGAGCTCAGTTCCTGTGCTTCTCTTGGCATTGTCTTCGACATAAGTGCCAAGTCTACTAATGCATCGCCTGCATTCGACTCACCAACCATTAGTTCAGGATGTAAGGTCTGGTGGTGGTCCAGTGGCGGTTCGACAGTTACCTCTCCTCTGCTTTTTAAACCACAGTCCACAGCGCCATTCCTTGCAAAAACAGTCGCTCGATCGCCCATTTCACCAGCCTACTCATTCTCTCATTCTCTCTCTTTCTCTTGCTATGCCTTAAGGGGTCAGAGTTAGAGGGTGGGATGGATATATCCCTATACCAAATAAGCACCTAGTAGGAAGATATAAGTACTCTGCGCCCCGAGATTTAGAGCAGAGGACAGAATGTACCATCACCACCTCCCAAATGTAAGGGCTTTAAAGTTAAAACGGGGCATCCGGGCGATTGTTTTTATGGTAAAACAGGGAGCACCAGACCAGACCAGCCCATGCAGACAGGGAGGGCATCACCACCATGGTGACATGCTTGAACAGACACCAGGCGATTGTCTTTGCAAATGGTAGGCGGTTTAAAAACTTTAAAAACAGGGAGGACACCAGGGCCATGACATGGAGACGGCGTCCCGGCTCGAGCTGTTTAGTTGATCCCATCTAGTGGTCTCTCGTTACGGTGATGCACCTTCGTCCATGGGCAGGTACAAGTTTACTTCTGCTTTGCTTCTGCCGTGGAGCCTGGGTATTCATTGCATATATCATGAAGCTGGGGAGACCTCTGACCATGCCTCTCCATGACGGGAAGATCTACCTCAGTCGACTGCAGGAAGATACTCATTACATAGTAAACACTGATTAACCGCTAGTTGATTAACTGAGACACGCCCAAGCTGCGAGAAAAGACGCTGCCTGGCCTGTTCCTGTCCCTCTTCGCTCTTCTCCCCAATCTCCGCCATTCAGCAGCAGAAGAATCAGCCATCGGTGACGAAATACTGCATGGAACCAATCACCAACCAGTCGCCCGCTGCATCTTCACTCCAATGAAATGCAGCGAGCTCGTATTCACAAAGAGGCTGAAGAAACGAGGCTTTACCTCATCCTGGACTTTGCTGCCTGCGACCTACGACTGCGGACGGGATGCAGTTGAGCTGGCCTTTTGGTCGTCATTTAAATATATCGACAGATTCCGCGATGAGACGAACCCCAAGACACGGTCATCCATTCATTAGTTAGTTACTGAAAGGTAGATATTTATCTCTGTTGTATAACTACAGGGTGTTATACACCATTGGAGCATCTGCTGCTGTTGATGAGCTCCAGCGGAGCGACACTGCAAGAAATATATACCGTTTCATACCCATCTCTTACAAAGAGGACTCTTCGAGCTTCCCTTGGAAGAATTTGATGCCTGATATCCCAGGGGGGGGAAGATGGAACCGCAAGAACAGCAATATCAGCATAGCCTCGCTCAATCCCAGGCTGGTGGTGGCGTCTCTGTCCGCAGCAGGTCATCCAGCATCGTCTCGACCAGGACGGGAGTCACCATCGCAACTCTGCAGGATGACACGCGAAGCGTCCGAAGCATGGAGCTGGTCGTCGGACGGAGGATATTCAGCATCAACCGCGACGGATCCAGGATCACTGAGCACTCTGGCCTTCCGCCGTATACCTCTGCACCACCCGAGTATTCCAGCCTCGACAGGGTAGCTGGGAATGCGGCAGTGGCCGAACTACCGGCTCCAAATATCCCAAACTACGAGGAGATAGCGTGGCCGTCCGGGGAGTCTGAATACCGTCAACCGTTGCAACCTATCCCGTCGGTGCGTCTTGACCAGCGCTGTGATACTCCGGTGTTTCCAGTCGGTGAGCCGGCCAGGGCTGAGCTGCCAGCGACTCCAGCCGAAGGAGAGAGAAGAGGATCAGGCTCCGTTGCTCGAACCCATTCGTTCGTCCCTGGGCCCGAGAAAATCTCCGTGGTAGCCAAAAGACGCTCCGTCTCAGAAAGCAATATCCAAGCCAACCTCCACCCCAATAGCAACAGCAACATTCTCAGGAACAACAACCCGTTACGCCGTCGGAATGGCATCCGTCTCCCACAGCTGGACACGGGCGTCTCCTTTGAACAGCTACGGAATGCCTTCTCTAGCAATGCTGGCCCTCCCTCCGCTAGCCCACGCATGACCCATTCTGCCGGCCCCAGCATAGGAGGCTCCAGCAACGACTTTTTGACCGGAAACATCTACTATAACAGCACTACCACAGGCGGGAGCGGAAATGTATCCCGCGGCCGCTCACCACCTACGACGCCCAGAGCCACCAGAAGCCCCCTGCTGGCGGTCCCCCAGGGCCCGCCCGTCGTCGAAGAAGGATATGCCGACACGGAACTGCCGCCTGCAATGGACACAGAGAACGAGATAAGCATCCATTTCTCCCGCATGATACGCAGCATCGACCGCGAACACCGCCGGGTCCTGCACCAGAAGTGTCGGGAACTAGCCGACTTGCGCGAACGGCTCAACGAGGTCGACCAGGTCTACCGCAAAGAGCTAAGGTCCCGCGACTTCATCATCGACGAGCTGCGGCAGGAGATCAGCCTGATGGAGTTCCGGGTGGACGAGAGGGTCGAGCGGGCTAGAAACGAGGTAGAGGATATCTGGGAGAAGCGGTGGAAGGACCAGGAGAAACTGCTGCTTAACATGCAGCGGAGACAGAGCCAGGCGGACCTCAGCAGGATGATAGGTCGGAGAAGGGCAGTGGGAAGGGCTCTTTCATCGTCGCAGGGCTTGATGATGCATGAAGACGAGGAGAACGATGATGATGTGCATTGACGGGAGCGACATATACTTACATATACATTCATGAGCGACGGAGTTGGGAACAAGAGCAGACTGAGATTGAGTGGCTGGCCTATATATCTCTTGCTTTTATGATATTTCTTTCTTTTTCTTCTACTTTCTTCGTTTACTCTGCGTTCGTCTTGCATCACTTTGCATAACAGCTACCGATGTCATTGGACTCGGATGTCGAGCTTTTTGAAAAAACAGGATGCCAGCATGAATCCAAAGCATGATAACCTCGATATAACATACAGCAAGCCTCGTCTGAGTAACATCCATGCATAAAAAGAAGAGTTGTTGGCATTTTCCGTTCATGTTCCTGTTATTTGCCTCTCGCTGTTGAAACTCGCATCCGCCATAGTACAAGCAAAACACATACTCTCACAGCTATATAAACTTGACGGCTTCCCTGCTCTGATATTCCCGGGATAATCATTAATACGTATAATAGTTTGGTGTCTCAGTCAAGCGAGGAAGAGAGAAGGAAAAAAACAACATCCAAGGAGTGGGACGGAGATTTTAACTAGTCAACAAGCTATGCAGATTCCCCCCCCGCAGCCAAACAAATACCAACAACTTCATCTCTGGACAAGGAGGAGAAGTTGAAGGAGAAGAGAAGAAGGATAAGAAGACGAAGAAGACAAGGAAGACCCTCCACCACACTGAACAGACGGTTTCCTCCCTCCCGAGCCGTCCCGCAAGGCCTCCGCCGGATTTCTTCACGAGTCGAAATAACAGTTATAACTGCCCGCTTCATGGTTGCAGGACGTCGTCTCGAAGGACAGCCGCTGTCTATATAAACAACCCACAGCCCCCTCCGCTGGCACGGTTAATTGATTGCTCGAAGTGCTAGCATAACGTCCACCATGGCGTCAGGGGACAACGAGTATCGGCCCATGGTCACTTGGATGTACGACCTGATCCTCTGGTTTCTATCTCTCCTGGTCGACCTCTTCTTCCGTGAAGTGCATCCTCGCGGCTCATGGAAGGTCCCCAAGAGAGGGCCGGTGATTCTCGTCGCGGCTCCCCATGCGAACCAGGTATGTCCAATATGTCTTAACCGGGTTGTAAAGGAGCTATGCTAACGTCTACATCTGCCAGTTCGTGGACTCCTTGATCCTGATGCGAGTTATGCGCATGGAACTTCACCGTCGAATCGCCTTCCTGATCGCTCAGAAATCGTTCAAACGGCGCTTCGTCGGTCTTCTTGCTCGGTTCACTGGTTCTGTCCCCGTAACTCGAGCAATGGATAACTTGAAGCCGGGAAAGGGTACAATCTACCTACCTGACCCGGTGAACAATCCTACTCTCCTCCGCGGGCACGGAACGGACTTTACATCCTCTGCGTTCGAGGTTGGCGGAATGATATCCTTGCCGTCGGTCGGTGGACGGTCGAGCAGTACTGATATCGGCGAGATCAAGGGGCCGGAGGAGATTATTTTGAAGAAGCCGTTCAAGACCCAGCAGGCGTTGCAGCAGTTGACCGGAAGAGACGACGTTGAGGAGGACGGAACCTTTGTAGGAGGTGCAGATGTCAAGAGTCCGCCAGACTTCAAGGGCTCGAGGTTCAAGATCGCACCCCATGTTGACCAGACTCAGGTTTATAACGCTGTTTTCGATACGTTGAACCAGGGAGGGTGTATCGGTATCTTCCCAGAGGGTGGGAGTCACGATCGTCCGGATCTGTTGCCGTTGAAAGGTGTGTTCTTACGCCTGTTTCATTTATGGGTTATTTACTAAGTCTTGTATAGCCGGTGTTGCTCTCATGGCACTTGGAGCGGTGGCTGCCAATCCTGACTGTGATGTGACCATCATCCCATGTGGAATGAACTATTTCCATGCACACAAGTTCCGATCTCGCGCAGTTATTGAATTTGGAAACCCCGTCAAGGTGCCTCCGGAGCTGGTCAAGATGTACAAAGAGGGCCAGAAGCGAGAGTCAGTAGGGACGCTCCTAGATACCATATACCAGGCCCTAGTCACCGTCACCGTCACATCTCCCGACTATGAATCTCTCATGGTACGTTGGCTTTTTCATCTTGGTTTACCTCTTACGCTCTGGCTAATTCGAACATAGGTCATACAAGCTGCCAGGAGGCTCTACAATCCTACGGGGAAGAAGCTGCCTCTTCCGATGGTTGTCGAGCTCAACCGCCGCCTGGCCAAAGGTTATGCCCATTACAAAGATGACCCTAGGATAATCAGTCTGAAGAAGTCTGTGATGGACTACAACAAGCAGCTTCGCATCCTAGGCATCCGAGACCACCAGGTGCAGTATGCCAAATTCTCGATCTTCAAAGTCGTCGCCACCCTCATCTACCGACTGGGCAAGCTGGCCGTCATGGCCATCGGGACCCTGCCCGGCCTCATCCTCTTCCTTCCAGTGTTTGTCGCTACGAAGCTCATCTCCATCAAGAAATCTCGTGAGGCGCTGGCCGCATCGAGCGTGAAGATCCAAGGCCGCGATGTGATGGCGACGTGGAAACTGCTCGTTGCCCTGGCCTTTGCTCCGCTGCTCTACACCTTCTACACCGTCCTGCTCACCTACTGGGCCTACAGCCATCGTGTATGGGGATACGTCCCTGACTGGGTACCTCTCTGGACCATCGTGCCACTCGGCTTCTGGATCTTCCCATCCATCACCTTTGCGGCTCTCCGAATCGGAGAAATCGGCATGGACATCCTCAAGTCACTCCGTCCGCTTGTCCTATCGCTCAACCCCAGTTCGGCAAACACGCTGGTCAGGCTGCGTGAACGACGAGCCGAGCTGTCCATCCAGGTGACCGACCTGATCAACACGCTCGGCCCAGAGATGTTCCCGGACTTCGACTCCTCCCGAGTCGTCTCCAACCCGTTCAAGGACACCATCTTCCGCGAGGACCTGCCTTCCAAGGCCCTGGGCTCACTTGACGACAACGACGAGCACTTTGAAGACGACGGCCGTCCACGCATCATCCACCGCTCGCACACAGACATGCAGGACCAGCTCCCTCGCAACGAATCCTTCCACGACCTGGCCAGCTTTGGCTTCTTCTCTACCCGCCCGTCCAGTCGGAGCAGAAGCCGCAGCAGCTCCAACGGCGGGCTCATCGGCTCCTCTGGCTTCCCGCTGAAGGAGTTTAGCACCCTCGACACAAAGGAGAGCTTCGATGAAGTGAGTAAGCGTATCCGCGGAGCCATGCGTGAGCGAGGACGACAACGACGCCGCAAGAGCGAAGACTCGAACATGTGGGAGGCTGCTTCGGACTCTGGCTCCCCCTCCCCAGAGAACAGGAAGGACGTCTAGTCCCTGCACTCTCTATACCTATCTCTGGACGTCCAAAGAAACAGAACAAAACGGAGGCATGTAATAGCAAGCAGAAAAGGAAGTAAAAAAGGGAGGTCTCTTTCAAACGATTGGATGATATTACGAACTGTTTATCTAGTTCAGGGCCCAGCAGGCGTTTGTTGTATCTACCTTAACAATAACTATATATATCTTACAAGAGGAGTTTGAGCGTCCATGCGATGTACCACACGGCGCATTCGGGGTTCAACCAAGCCTGATTCTGAACTCTTCTTATCTATACCAATGCCGTACATATCAAGAGCTACATATTAACTATGCTAAATAGTATTATTCACTGCCATGTCTTCACTTGATTTCAGTGACTCGAAAGAGCTCGTCCCCAACAAGCATATAAAGTGATTCAACTTCTGGCCTCAAACCTCATCTCTGCCGGTGTATGATCTTTTGGTCGAGTGGTATAGTTGTTACTGGTAGCAGCCATCAGTGTTACGATGGATGTCCCAGCCATGAGAGAAGCAGTCAGGATAGTAAGTATCCTCGTCTCTCCTGTTTATTTTTATATCCTAACATGTTACTATAGCAAAACGAAGGATGCCATCGAGAACTACATGGCTACGGCCAGAAGTCGATAAGGCCTCTGTACGTCCACAACTGCTGGCCTTGACGTCTTCTTCTAACATGGATCTTGCATAGGACGTCGTTTTCTCTTCCTTTCTCTGTGTTGGAAGAGGTAAAGGGCGAAAACAGCTCAGCAGTGGCAGGCTGAGAGTGGCAGAGGCTATGGAGGAGAGACAGACCGGTAGACGAGAGGGAGAGAGCCGTCGGAGCAGAAGAAGCACTGCGAATCCAACATCTGCTATGCTCATGGCATCAAAAGTCGGCCAGGATTGAAAGTGCTGGATGAGCATACATAGTAGAAGGGAGAACTGACACTTGTCTACTCAACCCATAGTTATAGACATCACCCATCATAGTGTACGAGTAAACATATATCCTCTAACTGAGACTGGTTTGACACTCTTCAAAGCCATCCATCGTATCGCCGTCAGGGGTTTTTTCGCAACTTCCGAGACACAGAAAAATAAACAAATCAAGGCAAAAAATAAAAAGAGGCGAAGTCAGACTTTGCCTACGTCACTCTTTTTTTTTTTTTTATTTTCGTAGTAATTTCGGTTTATTGTTATATTTATTTTATTCTATCTTAATATCTTCTTCTTCTCTCGCTTGCTCGCTTTGACTGAAGGTCCTGCTATATCTCTATTATTCTACGGGTCTGACGGAGACTCACGACTGCGACGGCAACAGCAACTTCTACTTGCCAGATCGCTACTATGGCGTCGTCAATGCATCTGTCGAGGATACGGAAATGGCTGGCTTCATCTCCCCCCGTCGAAGGGGCTATATACTACCTCCGCGAGCTGTTGATCGGCGCGTTAAGACAGGGTCCTATTCCACAGCATGTCGCCTTCGTGATGGACGGGAACAGACGGTTCGCCCGGAATCAGGGCATAGAGCGGGTGGAGGGACACAACCTGGGCTTCGAGGCGTTGGCGAAGGTGTGTCGTTTGTTACATGTAGAGAGAATGCGTGTTTGTGTGTAGCTGTTCTAACGGTTGTATAGATACTGGAAGTGTGCTATAGCTCCGGCATCAAGGTGGTGACGATATACGCATTCAGCATCGAGAACTTCAAGCGGTCCAAGTACGAGGTTGATGCGCTGATGGAGATGGCCAAGTTGAAGCTGCAGCAGCTGTCAGAGCATGGAGAGCTGCTGGAGAGATACGGTGCGAGCGTGCGGGTGCTGGGACGACGAGATCAGATCCGGCCGGATGTGCTGGAGGCCGTCGACCGGACGGTAGAGACGACGAGCGGGAACGGAGACGCCATCCTCAACATCTGCTTTCCCTACACGTCCAGAGACGAGATCACTTCCGCCGTCCGGAACACGGTCGTCGACTACAGCACGCCGCTGGACCGGAGCCAGCTTCCGTCCGCCGCCAGTCCGCCACGTCGACCGTTCTCTGAGAAGCGGATAGTAGAGAATATACGTGAACATACGCCCAGCGCTGACCCGAGGGAGGCCCTGTCCAACGGCACGGAGGCGAACGGCAGCTGTAGCAGTCCTGCCTCTGCTTCTACGGCAAATGAGACGGCATATGATTCCACCTCGTCTCTATCCTCGGCTACGACCCTGCATCTGGTAAACGGTGAGACGGCCGGCACAGGCGTGAAACAGCACACCACCAGGGCTTCTCCAGAGCTATACACTTCCTATCCTCCCAACAGTGACCAGCTGCTCTTTCACTCGCCCGAGACGATCACCACGCAGACTCTCAGCGACCATATGCTCACCGCAGGTTGTCCGCCGCTCGACATCCTGATCCGCACATCCGGCGTCGAGCGTCTCAGCGACTTCATGCTCTGGCAGTGCCACCAGGAGACGCAGATCGTCTTCCTCGACACCCTGTGGCCGGCCTTCTCTCTCTGGGACTTCTTGCCTGTGGTCTGGGACTGGCAGCGGAGGCAGCGGAAGACCGGGCTGAAGAGAGAGCTCGAGTTCGACTTTCCCAGCACCTACAATTCTGATGCCGAGAAGTCGGCCGCAGACAGTCCGTGGCTCTCGGAGGACGAATCCATAAAACCCAAGTCTCTATAATGCACACACTCTCATACATCATACCCTCTCCTATACCTCTCCTACACCCCCTACATCCGTCCTATGTCTCCTACGTCTTCTATATAGATGTATAATAATAATTGAACATCCCATATAGATATACGGGGTTACCTCTTCCCACCTCCGCAAAAGCACAACCCTGTAGACCATCCAGCAACTCTTCTGCATCTCCCCCTGAATGCTGTTGGGCAGCAAGATCTTCCATCTGGATATCAAACATCCCATGAAGAAGAAAAAACTCGCCTTGACCGACTAAGCTGCTGACTAACCTTTCTAGAAGTAGAAAAAGAGCACAAAAGTTGATTCTTCTTCTTCTTCTTCTCTTCTTCTTTCAATCTCACCCTTCAATCTCTTCTTCTATCACTCATCATATCTTATAGCCAGCCGTCGATATCATGTCTTCCTCAATTGAAGGTCGTAAAGTGCTTCTGTATGTAGTTTCCCCTCCCCCTCCGTTATCGGTTTACTGACTCATGATAAACAGGCTTGGAAGTGGCTTCGGTTAGTCCACGGCTAAAGAAAGATAAAAAGAGCATCGAAATGGATTAATTGACTGATAATTCACACTGTTGATAGTCACCAAGCCTACTATCGACGAGCTGAGCAAGGCCGGTGTCCTTCTCACCGTTGGTGCGTCTCATATAGATAATAGTTGCATGTCAGTCACAGAGACATAACTAACGAGACAATTAATAGCTTGCCGTACTCTCGAGAGTGCCCAGCAGCTCTGCAAGGGCATCAAGAACGCAAACGCCATCTCTCTGGACGTCAATGACTCTGCTGCCCTTGACGCTGAGCTAGCCAAGGTCGAGCTGGTCATCTCCCTCATCCCATACATCCACCACGCTACCGTCATCAAGGGAGCCATTCGCACCAAGAAGAATGTCGTCACTACCTCCTATGTCTCACCAGCCATGATGGAGCTGCAGGAAGACGCAAAGAAGGCTGGAATCACAGTCATGAACGAGATCGGTCTTGACCCAGTATGTCTTCGGAGTTATCTCCGGTCAACTTACAACTAGACATAGCTAACCCTACTTACCTCCTAGGGTATCGATCACCTGTATGCCGTCAAGACCATCTCAGAGGTACTATCTGCTCTTATCCTGCTTGTAATGCCCCTATCTAACCAAAGCTATATAGGTTCACGAAGCCGGTGGCAAGGTCACATCTTTCCTGTCCTACTGTGGTGGTCTCCCAGCTCCAGAGTCCTCTGACAACCCACTGGGCTACAAATTCTCCTGGTCCAGCCGAGGCATGCTTCTCGCCCTCCGCAATGACGCCAAATACTATGAGAACGGCAAGATCGTCTCCATCCCCGGCCCGGAGCTTATGGACTCTGCAAAGCCATACTTCATCTACCCAGGCTTCGCCTTCGTCGCCTACGCCAACCGTGACTCGACACCTTACAAGGAACGCTATGAGATGCCAGAGGCTCAGACCGTGGTCCGCGGCACCCTCCGCTTCCAGGGCTTCCCACAGATGATCCGCACCCTCGTCGATCTAGGTTTCCTCAAGGAAGACGAGAAGGAGTTCATGAAGACGCCTATCCCATGGAAGGAAGCCATGAAGCAGCTTCTCGGAGCCACCTCTTCGGAAGAGAAGGATCTCCAGTGGGCCATCTCCTCCAAGACCAAGTTCGCTGATAACGAAGAGAAGGATCGTATCATGGCTGCTCTTCGATGGATGGGCTTGTTCTCCGATGAGAAGATTACGCCTCGTAATAACCCGCTCGATACCCTTTGTGCTACCCTTGAGCAGAAGATGCAGTACGGACCTGGTGAGAGAGACATGGTCATGCTGCAGCACAGATTCGAGATTGAGAACAAGGACAGTAGCAAGGAGACCCGTACCAGCACCTTGTGTGACTATGGCGATCCAAACGGCTACTCTGCCATGGCCAAGCTGGTGGGCATCCCATGTGCCGTTGCTGTCAGGCAGGTCCTTGATGGCACTCTCAGCGAGAAGGTATGGAAGAATCAATCACACTTTACCCTATTTGCACAAGGCGAAAATATACTAACCTTTTACTCCAGGGTATCCTTGCTCCCATGAACATGAAGATCTGTGGCCCCCTGATCAAGGCGTTGAAGGAGGAGTACGGAATTGAGATGATCGAGAAGACTCTCTAAATGCATCTCTATTCCTCATTGATGACTGTTTTTTAATGGAAAGAGGATATTCGGTATGGGAATTGGTTTGGGAGGCTTCTAAAAGTACATACATTCAATTTCTCCATATAAATATGCTCATAACTTAACAGAGATACATCTGGTCTCACCACCCGAGAATAGAAGGTCAATCATGATACTTCCATCTTCTCCAATCAATCTTCTCAAACACAGCTAGCTACCTCGGGTCCATACCAAACACCAAACATGCATATGGCCCGTCAACTCCAAATCAATCAACACTTGGGCTATATTCCCAACCACCCACCAGCCCATCTCCCCCTTATCCCCCCCCTGATCCCTCTCTCTATCAACCAATTTCCACACTCTGAGCCCATCAACAAGTCCAGTCGAGTTCGCGTATTCGGTTCGTATGGGTCCTCCTTGCAGACCGCCCTCTGCCTTGCCAAATCCCATCCCAAGCCCATTCCCCTTCCCCATTCCAATCCCCCATTCCAATCCCCCATTCCAATCCCCCATTCCAATCCCCCATTCCAATCCCCCATTCCAATCCCCCATTCCAATCCCCCATTCCAATCCCCCATCCCAATCCCATGCCCAATTCCCAACCAACCAGTCCAGCCCAAAATCCATATCCAATCCCATCCAGCCCGTCAAAGAGTGAGTCTGGATAATAGATGTCCTTCCATTGAATGTATTGAGTGCCTTTTGTCTTATTTTCGAGTGTTTTGATTGTCGAGTGTCTTATTGCTGGGTGCCTTGATTGCCGAATATATTAATTGTCGCGCATCTTGGTTGTTGTGTGCCTTGTTGAGTGTTTTGAGTGTTTTGAGTATCTTCCAACAGCCATGTCTTCAAGTTTTTTGAATGCCGTTTCCCATATCCTCCTCTCATGCAACCAACTCCCTTGCATGTGCCCTTCCAGTACCATCCTCCATGCAGCTCTCTCCCTTGCATGTAGTCTCCAACCCTTATAACAGCCCATGCCACCATTGACCATTCGT